CAAGTTGCTATGGTGAAGGCAACCCAAAAGGACCATGCACCACCGAATATAGTTATAGCCTTAGACACTATTCCAACAGCTAGCTCCTTCCCCTTCGCTAAAGAGGTACCTGAAACCAAATTGTAAACTGTAACCATGAAGCTTAGTGAGTTCCCCCATCGTACCACATACCATGCAATCACATAGCATACATACTGCCCGGCAATTCCGGGGTGCACAACCTACCCGGTACGACAATTCTGGGGTGCCAACCTACCCATGTGGCCATTCTGGGGTGCCGTCTTACCCATGCGGCCATTATGGGGTGCCGTCCTACCCATGTCAAGCCATTTTGGGGTGCTGACTTACCCGTCGGTCCTAACAACCAACCCTCGGGGACTATTCCACCCCTTACTGCTACTATCACATATATCATAACATAAACATACTATCAGACATATATGGGGTGTCCGAACTACCCTTCGGTCGTAACAACCAAACTTGGGGACTATTCCCCTCCTACTACCGCTATCACATATAACATATCATGCCAACATATAAGCATATCAGCACATATTATCAGATACCCTTCGGTCCTAACAACCGAACTCTACTACTATCACATATAACATATCATGCCAGCATATAACATATCAGGTAGTAGCAAACCTAGATGATATCACAAAGACAATCATCTAATCATTCAACTCCTACTGGTGGGTCGGCATTGTGGCCGTAGACCCACCGTTACTGGAAGGTAACTCACCTCGTAGTAGCTGCTAACTGTGCGGGAATCCTCTGACTGCTGTCGCTGCTGCTCCGGAAATCCTCCGGCTATAATTCCCACTAACACTTAGTCATACACTGCTACCTGTTCTTAGGGTAAAATGACCATTTTACCCCTGACCAAATCAAAGTTAAAGTCAACTTCTAGTTGACCTGACTCGCCGAGTCCCTATCCTTCCATTTGTCCCTATACTCATATCTACTCGTCGAGTTAGGCGATGACTCAACAAGTTTTCCTTCTAGATGAACATCGACTGAATCCTCATCCGACTCGCCGAGTTGTATGAACAACTCATCAAGTTCATCTTCAACTGATACACAGGTCCTGTCCTTGACTCGCCGAGTTTTATGAACAACTCGTCGAGTTCATCTTCATCCTTAAGAAGTTTGCCTTGGACTCGTCGAGTTTGCTCATGCACTCATCGAGTCCCATGAACTTCCAGGACAATGGATTAGTTCAAAACGTTGGGTCACTCCCCGGGACCCCCTAAAACCTTTCCACACTCAACTGGGCCCTTATGACCCTCAACTGATATGGGACAGAAACCTTGGACTCGCCGAGTCCAAGAATGGACTCGTCGAGTTGGTCACACCCTCTCACTAAATCTTTGATTTCTGATGTACAACCCTTGATCAAAAGATAGATCTATGCTTCTACAATTGATCTATCACGTAAAGTTACAACCTTTACATGCTTGCATGGGACTTTGAACTCAAAAGGTCCTAAAACAATCTCTTACAATGCATGGGGCCTTCATTGAGTGCAAGAGTCACTCCTTTCTGCCTTATAACCCTTCTAAGGGCCTAGATCTGAAACATCAAACCCTAACCATGCTTGCAATCATGGTTGGTGACCAAAATGGCTTAGAAAAGCCCTAAAACTCCACAAAATTGGATCTATCAAAAGAACAAACAAGGTATAGACTTTATACCTTCTGTAGGCTGCAAATGATGCTCAAAATCGGATCCTTCTAGCCTCCTCTTGATCCTTCAAGCTTTTCCTTCCTTCCTTGGGTCACAAAAGCACCAAAATTACTCTAAATTCCTTAGATTGCTTCAATAACAGCTAGGGTTTGCTATGGGGGTCTTCTGGGAGCAAATGGGACGAAGGAGGTCGAGTTAAGGTGTTTAAATATGGTGCAAACTCTCGGGTTAGGGTTTTTGTCCAGACAGGGCCTACTCCCCGAGTTCGGGACCCGACTCGTCGAGTCCACTGCTTAAACCCTGCGTCTCATCCCGCTTCTACTCGACGAGTTGGTCCTTCAACTCGCCGAGTCCAAGGCTAAAATGCAAAAATATTAATAAAAGAATATGTACCAAGAACCAGGTGCTACATTTGACTCCTTTTTCAATATTTTCACTATATTGATATTCCCCGAAGCCTCGCTACTAATTCCAAAGCCCGAAACACGCCCCTAAGTTCTCGAGAAGCCCAAAAAAATATCTTTTCGGTTTTGAAGCCCTACCTTCGCACAGCCCGGTTTTCAATTAAGCTCCCGGTTTTCAACATAGAAAGTCATATTTAAAGCCGTAGTGCTGCCCAAATTACTATTTTGACCCCTGGTTAATTCAAGGTGAGTTCAATATATAGGAACAATTGTATGTTATGTATTATATGTGCTATGTGCTTTTCAGTGTTATTATTCCGGGTTATTTTCCCGTGTTATTTTATTCGCTATTTTTATAGCAAAAGTAATACCTTTGACCATGTGATCAGTGAAAGGACTTAGATTCACATTGGTACTGGTACGTAGCCTCTGGCCATGTAGAGCATGTCTCCGTAAGAGAATGACTTCTATTCTATAACATTGGCAAATGGTTAGACAGGACTATAAGCCTGAAATCTAACAAGATGTTAATAAGAAATTGTATGTCTTCTATGCCATTTTGGTCAAAGCTTTATTGATGTATATCAAGTATGGAAATTGTTATGTCTCATTGATTGTATATTTTTGAATCAAGTCATTGATTGATATGGAAAGCTTAACACATGATTCTCATATGCCTTTGTTGTTTCTTGTTTCTCTTTGCTTCTGCCATATTGAAGTATATATATATGGCATAACGTTATATTGTATCTATTATTGAACTCACTAAGCGTCACCGCTTACCTTATCAATGTTTAATAATTGCAGGTGATAAGTAACCAGTATGATCCTATACTTTTCAAAGATTTAGAATAGTTATGTAATATATAACACTTTTGGAGTAATAATATTGTGAAGTATGAAAGTTTGGGTCTTTTAGAAATACGAAAGTTAGGGTCTTTCACTAAAACAAGTAAATATTCAAATCGTTGGATTGAAATTCTCCAATCATGCTTATTGGGCCTTTGCGACCCATTAACATAACTTTTGGGCCCAACGATAAAAGTAAATGCTTATTGGGCCTTCGTAACCCATTCACATAACTTTTGGGCCCAACGATAAAAGTAAATGTTTATTGGGCCTCCAGTGACCCAATTTCATATTTAAGGGATCCTCAATGGTTTTTAAGTGCTATTAGGCCTTAGTGGCCCATTAGCATTGCTAGTAAGGTCCAAGTAAATCAAATGCGAAATGGGCCAACATGTCCTTCGTATAATCAATAGCCATAAATAATACGCGAGAATAGTAGGATCTTGTAATCCTCTTCTCCTTGTTTGTTTAGCCTATCGCCAATCCAAGTAAACAAATACGGGTCGATAATCAATAGTAATTAAAGTCAATTGGGATTTAGTGAGTAATAATAGGTGGCACCAACGTGTGCCGGTCGTAGTATGTAGTCATAGTCAAAGTCTCATGAACGGAGAGTGAGAGTTTGTGTATAGATCTATACGGGGGTGACTCCCCCACACCTCAGTTGTTCGCTACAGTTGGACTCGACCAGTCTAGGGTGACAAAATCTTAAGATCAATTCTGGCATTCACCAGAGTGTCAAGACAGACGAACTAGTCATTATCATGCATGGTTATAACGACTCACATAAATAAATCCAATATTAATCAAGTAATCAAGGTAAATCAAAATCATTCAAGGGATGGGATAACAGTTCGAACAGTTATATGATATTTTCTTATTTTCGGAAAACATCAGGTTTTCCGAGGAAGTTCAACATTTTTCACTGGTACTTTTAATACGAAGTTTTTCAGCTATACACGTTTTGAAATCATCATGCATATATTTACGGAATAGTTTTAAATCTCCATAAAACTATAAAAAAAAGTATGTTTTCTCTGTATTTGAATAGTATAATGTATTTCTATTTGTACAAAGTTGTAAATATCAAGATTTTACCCTTTATAGTTTTATTATTATAAACTAGGTGAAGTTGTTTACTTATTGTTCAATACCAAACAGTGAGTTATCGTAACCATACTTGATAACCTAAGCCTCGCCTGAAACACAACGTTCTTCAGACGTTGTAATATGGTACAACAATTGTCACCCCAAGCCTGCCGGCCTAGCTGTTGCAAGCAGCTTAGGTGCGAGATTGTTAGTCCCGTATAGATCTATACACAAGTGTCACGCTCTCCCTCCAGGAGACCCTTGTTATAATTTTCAGTACATTTGTTTTATACTTAAATAAGTACTTGAATTGAGTCTCACAAAAGCTATATTGATAATATGTAGAATAGTAAGAAGTTACTTTAATATAACTATACGAATAAATAAGTTTCATAAACTATATAAAATATAGTTTTATATGTAGTAAAGTATTCCATTTGTTTTCTGATTATTGTTTTATATGTTTACTTCATGGTAAAGTATTTCATTTGTTTTCTGATGATTGTTTTATATGTTTATTCTATTTGTATTTTATACTATGTTTATGTGTTTTGAAACTTGAAACCAAAGAATGTGTTCTCTAAACTATACCTATTATAGTTTAGTTGCTTGTTATTTTAATAAATTTCGAACCGGTAAAATAGTTTGTTTATAATAATCATAAACTAAATAATCAAATTTATGTTATTTATACGAGAAATCTTTGTATTTTACTTGTATTTTCCCCTTAAAACACTATAAAAATGGTGAAAATATAGGGGTATGAACTCACTTGATAGATGGTGATTTGGATAACGTTTCGTCTTCTGGAAAGGAGTTTATTTGAAGAAAACCGGCTTTATTTGGACAGAGTTTCGACTGGAGAAGGTTGTTTTTCTCGAGAATTTTGGGGCTTCGAGGGTTGCTTAGGGTTTTAGATATGGTATCGGGGCTTTGGGGGTTGTAGGTGAGGTTGTGGGAGTGAAAGATATGAAGGTGTGTGAAATTTGGGGTGAAAATAGTCTTGGAACCAAAAGATCTCGCATGCCTTTTATAGGACGAAGGTCGGATCCGGAGGGAAGAGTCAGCAGGTGAGGTGGCCGCGAGGGAAGGGAGGCACATGGCTCGGCTCGCAGGGTGCCACCGCGTGCGAGATTCGTCGAATCAGGAGTGGCTGAGACTTCGGTCCAATGAGAAGATGACACGGGTCCGAGCTCGGTGGCATCTTCTTGCGAATGGTGTCGGATAGCCACTGGACCGCGACTTCGGTCGAAGCAGAAGGCGACGCGTGTCGGGCGGTTACTATTCATGCGAAAATTCCCGTTTATCCTTTAATTCTTGGTTTTTGAGCCAAAAACTTTCGAAATTCATAACTTTCGCATACGAACTCCGTTTTTTACGTTCTCTATATGCACGCGTAGGTAAAATTATACACTACGACTTTTGTTTAGACTTCGTCGGTTAATTTTGAATTTATTTTATATATTATTTTTTTTAACAGACTGCGACAGGAAAATCCGTTAAAAATTCATAACTTCTTCGTCCGAAGTCCGTTTTCGTCTGTATTTTTACCGTTGTACTACTATTGACGAGACCTTTGATTCTCGTTTGGTTGTGTCGGCTAAAAATTACTCGATCTTTATTTCGAGTTTTTAGCTGTCTACTGCTTTTCCGAAATTTAGAAAAATCATAACTTCTTCATACGAAATCAAATTTGGGCATTCTTTTTACAGACATTGTCAGGTTAATGTATTCTACGAATTTCATTTGGATAGTTAAGGCTTAAAAGTATTTTATTTAAAAACTTTATTTTTACACATACAGTGTTTTGCCGGATTTGTCGCGGATCTTCGGTTGGTCATAACTTCTTCGTTATAACTTGGTTTTGTGATTTCTTTATATTTTTGGAATCCTTGTTAAGATATCTATCACTTGGTTCATCCCAAATGAGTTTATTTAATACTTCATTTTTGACCTTATTTTTCATTTCCAAAAATTTCTATTTTTATTATTTCAACATAAATTACAATAGTTAACCTAGACTATTACATTGTGAATTTATAAGTATCTAGGTAGAGTTTAGACTCCAATAACTATAGAATTTCTCAAGTTATAACAGAGAATGATTAAAAAATCTTTACATTTGACAAGAAAATAAAGTTTGTATTTGCTGTAATCATGTCATATTTATATATATATATATATATATATATATATATGTGTGTGTGTGTGTGTGTGTGTTTGTGTGTGTGTATTCATATTGTGTTATAATTTTTCAGGATGTCATTTTTTTGGATTGCATTGCTCAATCTCATGGTTGTTGTGATGGGTCATGGAGGTGATGGTGGTAACAAGCCACCACATCAATTCAGTAGAGGTTTTAATGATCACCAGATCAATGGTAATTAAGATTTTTTCTAATTCGTTGTATTTCAAATTGTTTGTATATAATAAATTATTTTGATTAATATTTATTTATGCAACAGTGCCTCCAAAACGAAAAGGCATGGCAGTAAACTTAAAATGTACAAGTTATTTGCTGTTAACGACAGACGGACTCTAAAGATAGTAGTTGGCATAAATACTCACATGACGATTGGGGAAGTATATGAATGTTTCATTCGGGAGGTTGGGAGCTATATGTGGTGCGACATCGGTTTTGATAAGGACATATGGACAGACGTTTCTGAAGCCGAAAGGGTTGGCATGTTCTAGTATCTTTCAGTAAATTATTTATAAAGTTATATATTTAATATGTTTAATTTTGATTTATTTTTAATTTCTCTATTCTTTTGTAGACATTGTTTGATTTTGGAGCGATTACAAATTATCCCATGGGTCCAGTTTATTGGGCGTCACTGAACAATCGAATATGTGCACAATATAGAGGCCTCAAAAATGTTGCAAAAACTCGTTTGACTGGTTCTGAAGGGGTTGTGGAGGTAGAAAGGGCTCAAGCCCCTACGGGTATGGATCTGCAGCGTTGGAATGCTGCTATTGACCACTTCTTAACTGAAAATCATCAAAAAACGATCCGCTAGAAACAGAGAATGCTGGAAGAAGCAAGTAATTAAGAATCGTGGAGGGACGTGCAACTATGGTAGTGCTTGTTTTAAGAACGTAACTTACAATAATGTTTATTCAGTTATAACATATTTTTTAATTTTTATTCAAGTATAATATATTTTGTAAAGTTAAACAGAATTTGAATAGCATCGAAGCATTTCATCGTGGGCATGTGAATAAACAAGTGGAATTTTTTGATCATTTGGTTGTAGACCAATATGTAAGTTATTATTACTTAAAAATGAAGTAGATTTTTTTGTGTTAGTTTTAACGTATATTGACAATCTTTGTGAAATACATAATATCTTGGTTACTGAGGTTGCTCTACAGACTCATCACATAGTCGGCTCTAGTAGTGATCTAGACACCATTGATTGGATCGCAATATTTGAGAAGATGTTGGGTACTCGAAGGGGGCATGTGAGAGGCATTGGGCCTAAACCTTCTTCAGCAACGGGTACAAGTTCTCAATCACAATGGCTGTCACAATCACAAGCACCGCAACCAACACAGGTACTTGTTAGATTCTTAAAGAATTTGGTAGCTTTGCTTTATTGTTAAAAACTTGATGCATTTATAGTAATTTTTGGTAGTTTGGTAGTTTGGTAGTTTGTTAAATTGTTAAAGACTTAATTTATTTGGTGTTTAATAGTTTTTTAAATTGTTATTGACTTAATTCATTTGGTGGTTTAATGGTTTGATGGTTTGTTAAATTGTTAATGACTTAGTGTGCTTGTGATTTAATAGTAGGATGTTGATGTGAATGCTTTTCTTTAAAACCCAACATTTGTGACGACCATTGGAGACATTATATGCTCGTTTAAAAACCAAGTCAACAACGATAGTAAAGACGCAGACACATAGTATTTCTTGTTTTATGTTATGGATGATGTTATTTGGGATTTATTAGATAGTTTATGGATGATATATTAGATGTTTATTTGAGATTTATTAGATAGTTTATGTAATGTGGTATATTTTGATGTTTTATGTAATGTGGTATGTATTTTTATTAAAGCTAAATTTTATAATATATACAAACTAATATCATAAATAAATTGTTTTTTTCAAAAAAAACAAAAAAACAAAGAAAAAATAAAAAAAACAATATCAGCGACACCTTTAGGGACGACATTGACCAATTGCGACGACAACTGATTCTGCAAATAGTAGCCGAAAAAACTTCGATCGGTGACCGGAAAGGTAATACAAACAACGACAATAGGGACGATAGTGATCTTTTAGCGACGACAGGCATCAGATACGGTGCTATTTGCGACGACAATGGAGTATTAGCTACGAGGTAATAGTGATGACATGTCATCGCTAATACCTTTAGCGACGACAGGTGGCATTTAATTGGACGATTTTCGTCGTCGCTAAAGGGTACGTCTTTTGTTGTGACAACACTTACTTTTTGTTTTAACCTTGATAAACCTTCAACCAAGTAATCCCAACTAAACCTCATGGTAAGCAACTAAGCATGACGAGAGGATTTGTATGTATATTTTAAAGAGTTTATCATATAGATTATCTAAATCAGTGAAATAGGAGAGAAATAGAGAATGGCTTGGTCTACTGGGATTTAGAATTTTGGAAGGCCGAGAACGGCTTTATATATCATAATTCATAAACCGTTTTCTTTTTTTATGTTACAAAAGACTTTATCTTTTTTATAGAAAAATGTACTATTATAAAATCCCTTCTTTGTAAGTCCTTTATATTCCTTTCATCTTTGATAAAAAATAAGGATGAAATGGAGAATTACCAAGTTAACTAAACTAAATAAAATGTCTTTGAATATGCACTAAAATTAATATTTACTTGAATCTTCAAAATCTTTGCGACACACTTACGATGTTACTTTCTCAAGCATATAAACAAACAACTTGTTAGATAACAATATGTTCCGGGTTAAATCGTTTGTTATCATAAAAACATAAATATGAATGTTAAGTAATATAAATACTTTTACTAACACGTTGTACTTTCTTATATTTGTCGTTTAAGCATAATACTCCATTTGATTCTTACAAAATGGTCCAACATCATTTCCCAAAGCTCAAACATCATAGTGATCTATGAACCTTTACATGTTTTGCCTATGTTTGTTCACAAAACACCACCTTTCAATACATGAACCTCTTAAGGGCCTTGAGAGGCCATGTCCTCTCTATGGTACATCCATTAGATAATTCAAATCATGTAAGTTATTCTAGTAGAGTACTTAGTGCATGTTGATGTTATACAATCCTTCCAGAAAGGTATTTTATTTGAGAATCTCCAAATATAATTTGAAACAATATTCTTGTACTTTTCCAAAGATGAAATGCACCTTCAACATTCCAGTAACTCAAATGTGGTCTATCAATTACCAAAACACACCATTATAATCCTTGAATTTACTAACATATAAAATTTCTATATTGATTTTTAAAATTAAAAGATTTTGGAGATATAGGATGTACTCCCTTCCAAGAAAATAAATATGAAATTTCCTAATTAATCCCATAGTTATATATTACTCAGTGATTAATTTTCAGAAATACACTAACTATGAGAATTCCAACCCTAGTATTGAAGCTAAAGTTGGAGTAAAGTGAGTGGTATTTAAGCTCACCACTATCTCCCGAAAAAGTTGAAATAAAGTCAAAAAGGTAATAGACAATGACTCAAACCTTATATCGACAGTATTGTCGTTTGGATTGGGTTAATTGGCTATAAATAATAATAGATTCTACGTTTGCTTTTAGTTCAGATATATAAATTTTAGGTAATATCGAATATATTTAAATCAAAATTCGTTTCTAACATTTTAAACAAAAGTCGGCATGACTCGTTTAAGTTTTAACTATAAACTATAATGCAATACAAGAACTATAATATAAAAGATCATGTAAACACAAAACAAAACATGTTATTATTATATTACATAATAAAAGGGATAAAAACAAAGTAAATATTTGATTTTAGAAGAATCTTAATGGTATGTAAATAATTTGAAGGTAATTATAAGTGGGAGGTGGGGTCGGTTGAATTGGTGGAAGAATTTTGGCAGTTAGCGTTGATATGAAGCCAACCGACGCGTGTTCACGTGACACTGTCACCCACTCCCAACGGCTTAGGCTTAGTGCCTCTCACCCTTTCGTCACCCTTCGTCATCATCTGTCGTTAGTCTTTGATTCTACTGACGTGTTCTAAATTGTATATATTTTTGGAAAATTTTGTAAAAATAATGTTGAACAAAGTAAGTTTGGTTCGACTTTGATCTAAAAATATTGATGCCTATATATATAAGATATGAAAGATCGATAAGAACTTGAATTAAACCCTTATAAGCTAAAGGTTGACTTGTGTTTCTGTACTGTTGGGAATTTTGGGTGAAACGAACGTGTGTTGATGATTGAATATATGTGGATAATCGAAGAGTGGTTTTGACTTTTGAGTTGTAAGACTTTAAATTGGAATTTTTTTGATTTCTTATGAAAGAAGACGTATACGTTGGGTGGTGGTTGATGTTAATGGTGTGTATATACGTTTTATATCACCAAATACACATCAAAGAAGATAATGTTCATTATATTGTCGCGGTATGGAATATTGACCAAATGAGATCAACGTGGAGGAGAAGAACATGTTGAGTGCGGCTGACAAAGTCCTCAATGTTCGACACAATGCTGAGAGAATCAATGTGAAAAAAAGACAAAATTGCAAAAATGGTCCCTGTGGTATGATTTTTTAGGGTTTCAGTCCAAACTTCGATTTTTTTGGATTCATGGTCCTTTTGGCCTAGTTTGTATACAAAATTAGTCCCCCGACTTAACTTCCGTTAAGTTGTTTCTGTTAACTCCCTCATGTACCTCCCACATGAGGGTATATTTGTCTTTTCACTTCTAAAGGATCATTTTTGCACCTGAAAAATTATATCCCCATTTCATTATAAAAAATAATACCTATTTATTTATTTTAATAATTAAAAAATAAAAGAGGTCTCTCTCTCTCTCTATCTCTCTTTCTCTGTCTCTCTTCTTCAATCAATTTTCATCATCTTCAATGTCTTCATCTTTCAAGGATATCACACAAACCACCGCCATACACCAGCTTTCAACCACCATCTCCAACCCTGGTTTTCAGATTTGTTATTAATGTTGTTTTCAGATCGAGTAAGGAAAGAAACGAGCGAGGAGGACGATTGGAGTCTTCGGCAGTGGCTGGCGATAATGAGGAGGGGTGGTGTCGATCTCCGACGATCACTCCTTCATTGTTCCTTTTCCCGATCCGGAATCAAAACACACATGAGAGGGAGGCAGTTTCAGTCGCCGATCAAAGGATGTGTCATAGGTGCTCAATCGGACCGATGAAGGAAGAATAAGATCGGAAGCAGCAAGGGCTGCTTAAGCATTGATCTTCGAAGGAGAAGGTAGGAAGGAAGATCCGAAGGAAACAGGTAAGTTGCGACAGCAACTTCGGTGAGGAAAGGTGCGAAGGGGGAAAGATGCGATGAACAAACGAAGGAGGTGGCGAGGTTGCTCCCAGGCGAGCCTCATCGTGGTTTCTTTCTCATCATCGATAACAACGATTCGAAAGGGAATCAGAGCAGTTGCGGTAACAACGATTGAGGTGGGGTGTTTGGGGTTGGGCTTTTTCGACTGTAGGAGGGTTGTGGAGGTGTTGAACATCGATTTCAGTCGTTGAGAGGGTTGCAGCTCCTCTTGATCTCGCCGGAAACAACCATCCAAAGGTGTGTTTGTTTGTTTGATGCTCGACATGGGATTTTGGGTGATGCTTCTAATGGTGTTTGGGAAGAAGAAAAGGAGAGAGAGAGAGAGAGAGAGAGAGAGAGACCTCTTTTATTTTTTAATTATTAAAATAAATAAATAGGTATTAATTTTTTTTTTTAAATGGGGGTATATTTTTTCAAGTGCAAAAATGGTCCCTTATAAGTAAAAAGACAAATATACCTTCATGTGGGAGGCACATGAGGGAGTTAACTGCAACAACTTAACGGAAGTTAAGTCGGGGGACCAATTCTACGTACAAACTAGGCCAAAAGGACCATGAATCCAAAAAAGTCGAGGTTTGGACTGAAACCCCAAAAAAATGCATACCATAGAGACCATTTTTGCAGTTTTGTCTAAAAAAAAAACACAACTATAAGTGACGGAGTCCTCTAATTATCATGCTTAGATTAACACATTAAGCAACAATATATACTAGAAGTACAACACATAAAGCGCTCAGCAAGCCAATAGGGCCCGCCCTTATCATATCATAGGCGGATCCAAGGGGATCCCGGGATACCCTTCAAAAAAATTTCGATAGTATAATTTTTGTTTACGAATTTTTAATTTTTTTTGATATAATGTATATATACGTATCCCTTTAGTTATAACACAAAACAAATACGAAAGCTATTGGTTAAGGTGTTGGTTTAATTCTTTCTCCTTACATATTATTTGTCTATTTTTTTTATTTTTCCAGCTATTCTATCCAACCTGGCGATGTTGGATAGAATAGCCAATTAACCCAATCCAAACAAAAATACTGTCCTATTTGGCGATATTTGATAGAATAGCTGGAAAAAAAAATAGATAAATAATATGTAAGGAGAAAGAATTAAACAAACACCTTAACCAGTAGCTCTCGTATTTGTTCAGTGTTATAACTAAAGGGATGCGTATATATACATTATATCGAAAAAAATTGAAAATTCGTAAACAAAAATTACACTACCAAAAATTTTTTTAGGGGTATCCCGGGCTACCCCAGGATCCCCTTGGATCCGCCTATGAGTAGCTCATACTCCATAACAAAGACTATGGGACCAAAAATGTACACAAACTTTAGATTAGCAAGATCATAGAAATTAAACCATCAAATTCCAAGATTTATACCTTCTGAAGAGGCTTGAGGATGAGGTACTTTTGGATCTAGGTTGCCATGAACTTCCAAGCTAGTCCACCACCTTCTTTCCTCCTTAACAAGCACAAGAATACACACTTTCAAGATCAAAAATGCACACCAAGGGATTAGGCTTTCAATGAGACGTTTTTGGAGGTTGGATGCTAATAGGGGAAAAGGTCTCAAGGAGTTATGGACAATATATAGGGCTCAAACCCAAAAAAAATATGGTTAAGCATCGCGGCAGTACGCCCAACGTACTCAAGGTACACCTAGCGTACCACATCGAACCTTCGCAACTGAATAAATGAGTTACGTCAAGCATAGCTCTAACGTACGCCCAACAAAATATTAACTTTTGTCCAAAAATGAAATTACCTGAACAATGAGTGTTATAGTTTTGATCTCGTAATTGAATTGGTTTTTTACATAAGCATGAAAATGAAGGAATTTTGAAATGACATCTTATTTTTGTTTGATAGGATGCACTCATATAAAGTGAGAAAACTGCAAGAAATATAACATGGTATTTCAAACCACAAAAACTAGATATAGGATATATCCACATGAGGTTGTTAACTAACCGAACAAACACGAATAATAGCTCGTTCATGTTCATTTAAGTTAACCGAACAAACGAACTAACACGGATGAATAAATTAATGTAATTTCTTTTTCGTGTTCGTTTGTTTAACAAATTACTTTGTTCATGTTCAGTTATTTATGTTCATTAAAATGATAAACGAACATAAACAATCATAAATTAACAAAACATTCAAATGACGGATCGTAATGCATGACATCAACAATTCTAATATGTAGATCATACTAATATTTACCAAATCTCTAAGTTGCAGAACCTAAACCGCTCTTAAAAACCTCACTTTCACTCTTATCGGCTGTATAATATAATATAATAAACAAACATAAATGAACGTTCACGAACAAACAATACCGTTGTTCGTGCTCGTTCATTTAACTAAACGAACAAAAAATATTGTTCATGTTTGTTTTTTTATTACATGAATGAACATTAACTAATTTTTTTTCAACGATTCACTGAACATTTGGTTTGTTTAGAATCGTAGGTCCACACATTAGAATGTACTACATCAAAGGGAAATAAAACAACTAAAGTAAAGGACGAAATAGAAGTCGCATGTGCTTTCTAGTATGACAAGTCGTCCATAATTTGTACATTTGTCTTTTATTACAAGTAATGAAAGAACTAGAAAGTAAATGCTAAAATCACGATCACAAGGATGTCTGAGTCGTTGGTACCACACGGATGAGCTAGAAATAGAAAAATATTGATGAGGCAATGTTGTGATAAGATATAAATCGCCCGATCTATCACAATTGAGTAGTGTTTGAAGATCTGGTAATCATTCGTAGAAAAATCATATTCATCAAATTCTATAAAAGCATTTATTGTCTCTAGTAGATTTACGCACACAAACAAGATTTTTAATAAGATTGTGATTTATGAGAACATTATGGATGTGCAAGGTACAATATAGATTGGAGATAGGAAAATCAGAGTATCCCATGTGAGTAACCGCAATTTTTGATCCATCTCTCACTAAAATGGATGGAAGAGTATTATGATTATAACAAGTGGAATGAAGTATACATGCTTCGTGGTGAAGGTAAGTGGTTGCTCCAGAGTCCAAAAACCACCATGCATATTTTGGTTCATTGGAATTTATGCTATTAAACATTTGAGGGATAGATATTGTTGTTCTCAAGATCCATTCCATTGTTTTTCAAAACTTTTCATCAAAGCAAAATGGAATTGAGCCATGTTCTAGCGATCTACTATAGAAGTTGAAGACGAACTCAACCAACCATGAGAGCTAATTAGCGATATTAGCATATCGGGCCATCTATATGAGCTAATGGATTACACTTTGGACCATGTTATGGGTGCTTGGGAGTGAGCAACAACCCTTTTAAGGACAATGCATGTGACGGCCCCTATTTTCCATAACCAAAAAAAAAAAAAAAATCTTTAAGCTTTGAAAAACTATAACATCTTTGTTTGTATAAAATCCCAAAATAATAAAACATTTTGCGAAAACTATTTCGTTTTATTAAAAATATATTTCAATAAAGATGTTGTTTCAAAATACAAAACTCTAAGGATGTCATAATCAATACACAACATAGTTACAACATAAAGACCTACGGTTCTGAACTCTATTGTGGGTCATCTCTTCAATCACTCAACATCCTATTTAAATCTCCAGTAGTCTTAACACCACTACCTGTGATGCATAAAAATTAAGTGGGTCGGGTTAGGAAACATGGTGAGTTACATAGGGTTTTCATTCCCATAATGTTATATTCATCAATTAACCGGCCAAACCAATTATCATCCAACAACACATCATAATTATTTATAAAACATTTCCTTGAAACTACCCATCCCATCATTCCTCACATACTGATCCTAATACAGTGATCTTATAAGATATATCCTAACGGATCACTATAAATAGCTAATTGACTATATTGCCTTGGGGTGTCCTTGGCAGCATGCACTAATCAATAAAGGAAACTATGAGAGGGATGGAGTGCATCAAATGAACACACAATCCATTAACACCTACATACTATAAGTTTGTTGGCGTATTCAATAAGACTAGGTTTAGTCAGTGGTCGTCATCTCACTCCGGTAGATAATTGGTCACCATTTGGTTTAATACAGACCGGTCATCCAGGCACCTATTGGTGCCTGACTAGACATACCTAGGAATGGTCCAATACAAAAATACCTTAATCAGTTGTCTAATTAGGAGGAGAATACTTAATATGGTATTCTTGTATGTGAAATGTACCCCACCAAATCATCAATGTCATCGAACAAAGCTCTACTCTCTGGTCCTATCTCACATACACCCTTGACGCTACCGAATATCCAAACTTAACTAATCATCTCTTCTGGGTCTTAGGGTATAACTAATCGAATTCCAATACTCGTAATCATCACAAAGTTCCTGCCTATGTAATATTTTTACAAGACAAGGCAACACTCTTTCATCTTAACTCGAAGCTAAATGTCTTTGGCAAATCTTAGTTTGTATAAGACTAATTTACTATGCATCGTCAATATAGTCTTCACGATTTCATCTCGATATAGAGTATGGATATTCTGTTATTTAACTTATTTGGATCTAATCAACCTTTATATGCCTTAGTTAAGAAACTCGACTAAGCTACAATCATTGTCATCATCTTCCAATACCAACTCTATTTAGCCAACACTATCTTAATTTAGTATATTCTTTTAATGTAGAGTATTAGGTATTAATATACATTTATCTTCCTCAGTAATAAAACTTCTATTGTTACTATCATTTTATAATATTATATAAACATCTTAACACATATAAAACCGTACTGCGTATGTCTTTAAATATAAATCTGACACATTCCAATCAATAAGCATATAATTCATATATAAAACTC